ACAGGGTCACTCTGTGTTGGAATCAACTCGACGGCACTTAACAACAACAACAACGTCTGTATGTAAGAATATGGAGGAGTCTTGCTGTGGTGCTGTAGGATAACCACAAGGGTGGTAGGACAGTAGTTCAAACCCACTAGCTGCTCCCTGGAATCCCTATACAGGGTCGCTCTGTGTCAGAACCAACTTGAAGGCACTTTAACAACAACAACAACAAGAGTGTGTATGTGTGTTTGTATCTCATGGTCTCTAGAAAACCCTGAGGCAGTCACCCATTCTTTTCATGAAGCTAGTGGGCCTCGCGAGGGGTTCAAGCATGGCCGTCACCCCCCCACCCCACCCCCCAGAGGAGCCCTGGTACCCTGGTGGAAAACCCAGTTCAGAGTCACTGGATCCCTTTAAGAACCAAGCAGTGTGAGCTGAAATGTCATCATCAGCAACAAGACACCTGAAATCCACCAACAGTGTGAGGTTAAAGTCTGTCAGCATATGTTCTAACCTGAATTGCTCATTGTTAAATAATTATCTTAAGGCGCTCTTCCAGCTTCTAGTAAGCATAGCTCTTTAGTTCAAAATAGGCCCTTCAATTCAAATTTGGGGACAAGGACTTTCTTCTACACCTGAACTTTAAAAATTCTATTAATTTTCCAGCCCTGGAATTTCTGAAAGCATTTCAAAGAGCCACCACCCTCCTCAGCCCCCACCACAGTTCACCTAAAGATGGTACAGGCGAAAAGGACAGAACAAAGGGAGGCAGAAACAAAGGAAAATGAATTTTTCATAAACAAGAATTCTGGGAAGTAGACTCAGACCGCAAGATGGCCTGGCCTCGTCAACTTACACAAAGGAAGTTCTCTGTCTTCATAGTGACAGAGAGACTGGACCCCCCCAGACATGACCACCACCAGGAGGCATGAATGAACAGCCTGCTCCCCTAGGTGCACTGGTTAACATCTAGAAGCAAACTGACCCTAAATATTTAGTGGTTGGAAAACAGAACCACCCCGAGTCTATGCTAGAAACCCAAACAGACTTGGTAATGTAACTCTGTCTTTGTGAGCATTTAAATAGCCCTCAGGACTTATCTTCAAACACACACACAAAGAATAACTTCACAGGAAAATATTTGTTTCATGAGACTCTCACGGGCTGCCCTTTGCCCTTTATCAACAACAGACGAATTCCTGCTGCTGCAAGACACCATGGCCCTGCCCTTGAAAGGAAGCAGACGGAGACTTTGCTAACCAGGGTGAGAACAAGCCCCAGCTGACATAAAAGGCTCTGTCTGACTCCCTGACAAGGCCCTGGGCACACTTTGCTCAGGAAAGCCTCAGCCGGTCCTGGACAGTGATGGTTGGCCCTCGATTGCAATCCCAGGAGCAACCAGCCAAAAAGGAAGACCAAGTCCCAAACCAGGCAGGGCGTCCATATACTGTCTACATCAGCCTCAACAAAGGAGCTGATCCCTTGCACCTGCAGTTTCACTTGGCAGAATCTACCTTTAGGAAACTGTCATGGGCACACACAATGACACAGAGACAAGGATGCTCCCTGTGGGGTTGTTTGTAGAATCAAAATCTTGCTAAAAGAACGCAGCAACTTTCAACCAGGCAAGGCAGATTAAAGACGTGGGATGTTGTCCATCAACTAAAAGACAGCCATAAAACAGATGATCTCTAATAGTTTTAACAGCATGGGAAAAGCTGTAATCTAGTAAATGTACACATATATAACTGAGCTCGTCAGTGTGAATCCATCAAATGCATGTTGTTGTTGTTGTGAAGTGCTGTTGAGTTGGTTCCGACTCACAGAGATCCCGTGGAGGGTTTCGAAGGAGTGGCTGGTGAGTTTGAACCACTGAACTTGCAGTTCAAACCAACTTTGCAGTCCAGCGCATTAACCCATGTGCCACACCAGAATTCCATCTCTTGCATAGGAGGATCAATAGCTAGGTGGAGCCATCCATCTTTCTCATCAGTGCAGGTGTTCTAAACATTGATGGTTGGCCAAGGTAGTTTATGAAAATGATAAGAGTTGACAGAAGAACACTAAACAGCATCAAATACTGGCAGACCTCAGCGAGAACACAGTTCCCAACAACGTGAGCAGTTTTGGGGTTTCCCAGGGCACGGGACAATTACATCAACAGGATATTGTAGTCTCTGAAGCACGCAATAGCAGGATGAAAAAGTTTCAAATATTGGAGGATGACTAACACGGAACACAGAGACATGAAGTGAGCACATGCCACTGGGAGCATGGCACCTGTTGATTGCCACAACTTTCAATTTGCATAAAATCAAAACAAACTATCTGCAAACCACAATAAAGTGAAGCACTGTAAGACATTGTTCTACATCCTACTTTGGTGAGTGGCCTTCAGTATGGATTGCATCTCAATGTAAAGAAACCAAAAATCCTCACCACTGGACCAATAAACAACATTTTTATCTATGGGGAAAAGATTCAAGTTGTCAAGGACTTTATTCTTCTTAGATCAACTATCAACACTCATGGAAGCAGCAATCAAGAAATCAAATGACGTATTCCCCTAGGCAAATCTGCTGCACAAGACCTTTTTAAAGTGTTGAAGAGCAGAGATGTCAGCTTGAGGACTAAGGTGCACCTGACCCAAGCCATGGTATTTTCAATAACCTCATATGGATGCGAAAGCTGGACAGTGAATAAGGAAGATCGTAGAAGAATTGATGCCTTTGAGTTGTGGTGTTGGAGGAGAATACTGAAAGTGCCATGGACTGCCAAAAGAACCAATAGATCTGTTTTGGAAGAAGTGCAGCCAGAGTGCTCCTTGGAGGCCAGGATGGCTAAGCTTCGTCTCTCCTACTTTGGACATATTGTCCGGAGGAAACAATCACTGGAGAAGGATGTCATGCAGGGTAAGATGGAGGGTCAGAGAAAAAGAGGAAGACCCCCAACGAGATGGATCAGCCAGGTGGCATCATTGATGGACTCAAGTGTGGCAGCGGTAGTGAGGTTGGCCCAGAATCGGACATTGTTTCATTCTGCTGTGCATGGGGTCACTATGAGTCGGTTCCGACTCGATGGCACCTGACAACAACTACATGTTCACCAACATCAAAAGGGTAAATTTCACTTAGGGACAAGGTTCAAGCGAGTTGGGAAGGAGGGTTGAATGGAAACAGGAACCACAGAGAGGAGGTGGGATCACTGTTGTTGCATGAAGGAGACTGACAACCATTGAGAAGAAACAAAGTGTGTGAATTGTTGGATGTAAAACTGATGATCTGCTCTGTAAACCTCCACTCAAGTCACAGTAAAAAGTTACAACATGAGGTGTGTCTGTATGCTTTGCAAAATGTGGTCAGTGTAAGTTCACTGTGGGAGGAGGGGTTATATAAACAACGTGATGCATGCTTTGGCTTCTGAGAAGATCAGAGCTGGTGGTACCCTTCCCCCAGGAAGACCCCAAGGGACCTCCAGGTTCATAGGGAGTAAGGGTCGTATTTCACATGAGGTAAGGTTGGAGAGCGTCATTGCAGGAGAAGAGAGGAGGGACCAGCCCAGGACTGTTTGGCCTGATGTGAGTAAACAGTGAACATTCCCACAGGAATACTCATGGTCCATGTTCGCTTCCAGCTCTGTCTGCTCAGGATGGAGAAGGTGCTTTAAAAAGAAGCATAGACTTAGGGTGGAGCCTCTGGAAGACCAGACCATCCTCTCCAGCATGGACACCAGCAGGATCCAGGCGGTGCAAGCGATGCCAAGCTGCTTTTCTTCCTGCTGCAGGTTCCTGGCTGGTGGACACAGTTTGAGCTTGACTAGCACTCTAAAGGTTTGTGGTTCACACGTACTCAGTAATGTGAGGAAGAAAGTCCTGACAATACCCTTCCATAAAGATTTGTTGTTATTGTTAAGTGCCGTCGAGTCGGTGCCAACTCATAGCAACCCTGTATAGATTACTGTTTTTAAGTGCCATTCAACCCATTTGTTGTTGTTGTTGTGATGTGCCGTGGAGTCGGTTCCGACTCATAGCGACCCTATACAGGGTTTCCGAGGCTGTAAATCTTTATAGAAGCAGAAAGCCTCATCTTTCTCCCGCGGAACAGCTGGTAGTTTCGAACTGCTGACCTTGCAGTTCGCAGCCCAATTCATAACCACTACACTACCAGAGCTCCTTTCGACCCATTCAACCCATAGCGATCCTATATAGTGTTTCCGAGGAGCAGCTACTGAACTTGCATTGCTGACTTTGCGGTCCAAAGGTACTTTTGCAGTCCAGCACTTTAAACCACAGCACCATACTAGGATTTCCTGTACAGATCACAGCCTATGGAATGTTTGGGTTTTCCTTTCATCGGTCATTAGCTCATACCCACATACCCTCTTGTGGGAACGGGGCAAGGCAAACACAGCCTAAAAGATGTGCATTTACCCAAATGAAGCTATTAAGCCAGAGAGAGTTGATCAAAATTGTCATGTTTAAAATTAACTTCTACCACCTCCCACCTCCCACCCACCACCCAGTATAGTGGGAGCTCTCAGGCACAATTAGATTTGTTGCCAAACATTTTTTTTAAACTACTTTTGGGGGGCTCATCTCTGAGTGTTAATGCCGAGTGAATTTCCAACTGTGAGACATGCATTGTCTCCAGATCTCAGCCGGTGAAACCAAGTGATGTCTCTACCCGAAATGTTGATGGAATTTTAATTTACTTTTGTTGTTGCTAATCTAAGTTGTCTAAATAGTTTACAACAGATTTGTGTTATTTTGTGACATGAGTAAAAGGTTCTTGGTTTATTCTATTTTTAATTTTTTGATGAAAATATGTACAAAGAAACATACATACACATGCTCAAGTGTTTACATATTCAGTTCAATGACAGAGGTTGTATCTATTACATTGTGTGACCATTTTCATTGTCTCTATCCATTTTGTTTCACCTCTGGGAACTCAGACTCTCTACCCCTAAAAGTTCTCAGCTGTTCTTCCTGCAGAGAGGAATGGAGGAGAACTCACCTGGTAATGGGCAGCCCAGGATCTCCACCCGCATACAGATGCTCCCGCTGTCCAGCCAGGATTGAGGGTTTATGCGGATGTAGCGGGCCACCATGGGGCTTGGCAGCTCATTGAGAACCGGGATCTCTTTCTCACTATTCCCTTCAAATATCTGTTTATGCAGACAGAATAAAGGGGAGAGCTAATAAGAGATATAAGATTCAGCAACTAACTCATTCCACGAGACACTATTAAGGACCAGTTCATGTGTGCTAGGTACTAAGAAAAAACAAAAACAGATCAGGTTTGGACCCTGCTCTATCTATTGGAGGGTATGGAAGCCAGCTCCCATACATTAGGAAAAGTGGAGCCGTGCTATAGAGAAAGGACAGAGGGAGGATGGGGCAGAGCCCAGAGGTGCCATTAGTGCTGGCCTTGAAGGAAGATACTTTAGACCAACAGGGATGGAGGAGGGGTTGGGGTTCTAGGGAGAAGAGCACCAGGCTCATTTTTCCTGGAACACAGGAGTATATGTGGGCTACGAATGAGGATGCAAAGGAAGCTGTGGTCAGACTGTGAGAGATACTGGATACCATATTAGGAGTAGGCACTTGAGAATCTGAGTAAGAGGGTGACACATTCAGAACCACTAACCTAGAGCTAATCTGGGAGCTAAAAGATGGAAATTATCTATGAAAGTTAGGGGACAGTCTCATCACACTGTGTGCTCTGCTCTACAGCTTACAGGACTGGCCTGAGAGGTGCACAGAAGGGAGCTGCAAGGCCTACAAGGAGGATCGCTGTCTGTGAGGTCCTGATGCTGCTCTGGGCTCCCTCCAGGTGCCCGTGTTGCCCAATCCCCTCTCTTTGCCCATGATGAGGCACAGGTTTCCACAGACTCTTTGCACAGTGCCTGTCATGGAGAGCATGGTCAGAGGGAGGCAGAGACTCACCATGTCTCCTGATCCATCCTTAACAGTGACCCATGCGTGGCTGTCATTGCTCACCATGACCTTGTAGGATGTTACCCAGTCACTCCTAAGAGAGAAGAAGAACATCAATGAGGCTATCCCCACTTGAAAATAGTTACCTAGCCCATGTTGTTGTTGTTAAGTGCTGTCACGTCACTTCCAACTCATGAACCCGTATAGGATTTCTGAGACTAAATCTTTGTGGGAGCGGAAAGCCTCATCTTTCTCTCACGGAGCTGCTGGTGGGCTCAAACCACCAACCTTGAGGTTTGCAGTCCAGTGCTTACCGTATGAAGCCACTACACTCCCTTTTCCATGTTGTTGTTTTTGTTGTTACTAAGTGCTGTCAAATCAGTTTGGGCTCATAGAGACCCTGTTCAAGGTCTCCAAGAAGTGGCTGATGGGTTTGGACCACCAACCTTGCAGTTAGTAGTCCAGTGCTTACCCTACAGCATCATGCCAGGACTCCATGTAGAGGTGTTGAAATAAGGAGAGGAGGTACCAGAGACATAGAGCACAGGGTCCAAACCTGGCCCCACCGCTTCCAGCCAAGTTCTCATGGATGGGTCAGAATCCATCAGAGTCTGACATTGTTTTTCCATCTATAAAGTGGGAATGATAAAAGTACCATCTTCAAGCTAGTCATGAGAGCAATATGACCGAAAGCACTCAGACATACATGCCTGACACTTAGCATTGGACTGCGAACCACAAGGTAGGCGGTTTGAGCCCACCAGCCTCTCCACGAGAGAAAGATGAAGCTTTCTGCTTCTGCATGGATGGACAGCCTCAGAAATCCCATTTAGGGTCATTATGAGTTGGAATCGATTTGTCGACACTTAACAACAACAGGTACTGGTTTATGTTAAATATTTCCATCACACTCAATGCCTACAAATCACACAGTGGTCACTGAATGGAGTCCCAGGTGGCAAAATCATCTCAAGCAAGGATGACAAATTGGTCTAGAAATTTCATTTGGAAAATTAATCTGGGAACGTAACTGGATCTGCCCACACCACAAAAATACCAGGTTGCGTCTGGACGCGAGTACCACTTCTCTCTTTGGCTGCCATAGCATGTTCCCATCCAGCAAGGATCCCAAGATGATTGGACCCGAAGCCAGATACCTGCCATCTCATCCTACGGTGCAGACATCCCTGAAGGTAAAACAGCCCGAGTTTGACTTCCCCGGTAGAGGACAATTTGACACGTTTGGTCAAAACAACCCTTCATGCAGAAAACACATTTTTCTCCTCTGCTTCATTTTTCTATGCAACCTCTTTCCACCTCTTTCATTTTTAAACTACTGGACCTGAACACCAGTGTACTATTGCTATTGTGTGCCGTTGGGTTGTTTCTGACTCATAAAGACTCTCTATAGGATTTCTGAGTACAGCTGGTGGGTTTGAACTGCTGACCTTTTGGTAACCAGTCCAGTGCATATCTTATAGCACCACACCAAGGTACTGATGTTGTTAAGTGTTGTCAAGTCAGTTCCGATTCACAGTGACTCTGTTTACGGTTTCTGAGGAACAACTGGTGAGTTTGAACTGCCAACCTTGAGGTTAACAGTCCAGTGCTTATCCTACAGTGCCACACCAGGACTCCTACCTCAGCAGGTAGAATTTACTAAAGGCTAGTACCTTAGTGTGACTTGGTAGGATAAGCACTGGACAACCGTCGGGTTGGTTTGAACCACAAAGTCGGCAGTTCATCAGCTTCTTGTCAGAAACCCTATACAGAGCCACTATGAGTCAGACCAACTCAACGGCATTGAACAACAACATCTGCTGAAATATTTGGAATACTTTTCCTCTTGTAAGATCTCTTGAGTCCAGGACCCATGTAGATCCCCATGAAGTGTTGAGTGTTCAGTTTGAATCATTGTTATTGTTGTAGGTACCCTTGTACCTCAGTTCCGACTCACAGCTACCCTATGCACAACTGAAGGAAACATCCTCACAATTGTTGTTATGTTTGAAGCCATCATTGTTGCCCAGTTAAGTGTATTTAGAAAGAGCAGCTGGCTGTGTTAACCAGCAGTTCTGCTTCATCTGACTGACTTGTCAAAAATGCTTGGAAGCAAACACATCTCAAAGCACCTTCTCTGGTCTCTTTCCCACCAGTTCTGGGACTCCGTCACACAATGCCTCCCTCCTGGGGGATTATCAGCATATTTGGATACATGAACTGTAGCCTTTGAGCAGCATCTCCTCGCGGCTTATGTCTTTTCCCTCAAACATTATCCTCACCCACAATAGCAACCTGCTTCCCAGATGCCAAAAATGTCCAAATGATTAATGACAGAAGGTGACTCGGCTGTCTGGTTTTCTGCTGATAACACCCAAGGCAACTGAGCAGAAGTGAGGGGCTGTATCTTATCCAAATAGGAGCAAATTTAGGAAGTCTCTCAATCAAAAGTAAGCATGTAAATCAGAAGGGGTAAATATGAAAATGAAGTTCCCCAAAGGAAAGGAGGAAACGATATCCAAGTAAAATTTACAAAATTTACAAAAGAAACAGACAAATCCGCTATGTATATTGAGACACTAATTCACTGTCTACATGGCTCAGACCTCTCTGTGGATTTCTCTACCCCAGAGGTATCTCCAATCCAACCAGCTCCAGACCAGCGGGTTCTTCTCTTCTATCCCAGAAGAGGCACAACCATTCTCCCAAACCCACCAAACCCACTGCCATTGAGCCAATTCTGACTCAGTGACCCTATTTGTTGTTGTTAGGTGACATCGAGTCAGTACCAACTCATAGCGACCCTATGCACAACAGAACAAAACAGTGCCCGGTCCGGGGCCAAACTATTGTTGCCACACTTGAGCCCACTGATGCTGCCACCCTGCCAATCCATTTTGCTGGGGGTCTTCCTCTTTTTCTCTGACCCTCCATCATACCAAACATGATATCCTTCTCCAGTGACTGGTCCCTCCTGACAATATGTCCAAAGTATGAGAGACAAAGTTTGGCCATCCTGGCCTCCAAGGAGCACTCTGGCTGCACTTCTTCCAAAATAGATGTGTTTGGTTCTTTTGGCAGCTGATGCACTTTCAATATTCTCCTCTATAATGATGAGTCTTGGAAACCCTATTAGGCAGTTCTACCGCCAAGGTCAGCAGTTCGAAACTACCAGCTGCTCCACAGGAGAAAGATGAGGCTTTCTGCTCCCGTAAAGATCTACAGCCTTGGAAACCCTGTTCAGGGTCGTTATGGGTCGGAACCGACTCAACGGCACTTAACAACAGCTCTATCCTATAAGGGTTACTATGAGTCAACATTGACTCAACAGCAGCAGGTTTGGCTTCTGGGTGTCTCTTATAGTAGCAAAGGTACGATGTCAGTATACATTCATTTTGTATTCTTGTCTCAGAGTGCTAAGAAAATGTCAAGATGAATTCATGTTTTGTATTGATTGGATTTTACTGGATGTAAGCTCCTTCAAGTCCATATTCATAATATACTGAACAAGTCTTTCCACTTTTATCAAACCACTTCCTAATATAAGAGAACGTCCACTTTATCTCTAGCAATGTTTCTTGCCTTCAAGTCAACTTTGTCTAACAACAGTATAGCGTTTTTTGGGTTTATATTTACATGATATTTTTCTTTCCATTCTTTTACTTTTAACCTTTCTGTCTCCTTATATTTCAGTGATATCTCTTGTAAATAGCATATCGTTCAGATTTCTCAGGTTTTTATTTTAATACGGTTTCATAATATTAGCCTTTTGTTGGAGAATATAGTTCACATAAATGTCATGTAATTATTACTATATTTGAATTTGGATCTACCATATTACTCTTTATTTCTATTAGATACTTCCGTTTCATTTTCTTTCTTCTTTTACCCATTTTTGCGGGGGTTTTCCCCCCCTCTTTGTCCTTTTAGCAATGAAGTATTTTAATATTTTTTATTATTCTGTCTTCTTTTGGGACTCCTGGTGTGGCACTGTAGGATAAGCAATGGACTGAAAATTACAAGGTCAGCAGTTCAAACCTACCAGCTGCTCCTTGGAAATCCTGTACAGGGTCGCTATGAATCTAAATTGGCTTGATGGCAGTTAACAACAACTTTCTCTTTATTAACTTATTAGTTACACCCTGTGATGCTATTCCTTTCATGATTATCCTAAAGATTATAACATGTCTCATTGAGTTATTACAATCACATTTAAATTATAATTTCTATCATCTCCATGAAAATGCTAGAAAAGTATACCACTTTTGTAAATGTAAACCTACATATTTACTTTCTGCTATTCTTCATTTAAGGAGCTCTGGTAGCGTAGTGGTTATGAGTTGGGTTGCTAACCTCAAGGTCAGCAGTTTGAAACTAGCAGTCACTCTGTGGGGGAAAGATGCGGTTTTGGGATCCTGTAAAGATTTACAACCTCAGAAGCCTATACAGGGTCACTATGTGTCAGAACCGACTCCACGGCACACCACCACCACCGCTCTTCATTTATTTCTTCATTTTTCCATATTTCTTTCTGGAATAATTTTCTTTGTGCTTAAAGAATTTCTTTTGATATTCATTTTAAACCCAATATTCTGGTAAGTGTTTTTCCGCTTTTACTGTCTGAAAATTATTTCATTTCACTTTCAATTTTGAATGATATTTTTCTAAGGGCCCTTTGGACTAATAGGTAGTTATTTATTATTTAAATTCAGCCCCCCAACCCCACCCCACACACACATACACTTTTTTTTTTTTACTTAGTATGAACTTTATACTTATCCGTTGCAGAAACTTTGCAAAATAGAATTTGTTGTTGTTGTTAAGTGCCGTTGAGTTGGTTCTGACTCACAGCAGCCCCCTACAGGATTTCCATGGAAGCTGCTGATGGGGTTGAATGGTCAACAGGTGGTTACTCTATAGCCCACAACAGGACTCATAAAATACCAACAGTTTAAGCACTGTTAACATTTTCATTTATATCTTTCTTGCAGACATTGACATCATACTTTATAAATTGTTTTGTGTCATTTTGTAGCTTATTTATTGGAGCCACACTGTGCCCATTAGCCATTTCTACATGTACAATTCAGTGGG